TAACTATCAAAACGCCTGCCATTTGTAATAAATAAATATAAATGTTTTTTCTTCCAGTGTGCTGGATACCGTGTACAGCATTGAAAGATAGGGGTTAAATTGTTGAAGAAATAGCGACTTGGAGGTAGCTTTTCAATGCACTGAGGTCTGAGAATGTTGTGCATTTTAATGCACGTATGTATAATTTTCAAAAGGGTGTGTGTGATAGACTTACCTCCATGTAGTTCACCCTGGGCAACGTTTACTTATATGGCAAAAAAGTCTCTAAACGGTCGGTTGACTTCTAAATTCAAACTACCGTGACCCCACCTCACAGTACTCACCTTACCTTTTCTCTTCTTTTATGTCTGTCTATCTCTTTTACATCCTTGAATCACTTTTCTATTTCCTCTCTCGAATTTTTCTAACTTTGATGTTCTTCCCCTCTGAGAAGCCCGAAAGCAGCTAATGGGCTTATAATAACCATCATAATACCTACCACTTGAAATAAATAAATAATTTTCAGAATGAAATTGTGCTTATCCACTACACGGCAGTTCGTTTATAAGATATGACTTGATAAGAGATGTCACTAATTACCCGGCAATTTGGAACAATAACGCACTGATGAAGTGATCTATTTTCGATCTATATAACTTTCGCAGATACAAATAATTAAGCAAGCATTAACGCTAAGATGTGATTAGAATAGAACGAAGGAGAAGCATTTCTCTGAAAACTTTTACCTTTTCGTCTTCAACACATTCATTTTACCCATAAAACATAACTACTAAAAGGTAAATATATACGCTGAAGCAATGTAAATTGAGCTAAGAGGCACTGTATTTTAGCATTTGGAATAATAAATGAGGCTGTCAAAGGGAATATATTAAGCTTTCTGAAATGAATTCTCGAGCAATGAAAATTTTTTTTGCGGAAAAACCTACATATATTTGGAGCATTTGGAATATATGATGGAGCATTTACAATATTCCACTTAGATATTTTGGAGCATTCTATTTAGGAAAGTACTACATATCGTTTAAACGTTAAATGTCTGGTTGTTCAAATTAAACTGCGTTAAATATTATTAATAAATAAAATTAAATATTGACTACAAAACGGAGTATACTGTTATCTCAAAAAATTCCGGTATTTTGTTTAATGGTATCAATGAATATTATTTGTAAACCAAGTGCATAATACTTACTAACTTATTGGCCGCATTCTAAACCAATCACGCTTGGCTGTAATAAGCCTTGGAAGGTTTTTCCGGGACGAGAAATTTATTGATTGTTTTAATAATGTTGGACTTAATTTTGGGATATGTGCTCTTCTTACTCGCAATTATCCCCATCACTGTATATTTCAACCAATTCCTATTCTTCATATTCGCCTTTTACGTTTCGTAAGTCTCGTTTTATACGTTCAGAACGCTAATTATAATTTATACATAATGTTCCTTGCGTTTATTTTGACATCCATGCTGCAGTTTTTATATTTTTTCAATAATTATAAATTGATAACTGAGGAACTTTTCATCAGTATTTCAATTTCGTTTTAACTCGAATATTTATAGGCGTTATTTGGCATCTTATATTTTTTATCCGTTTGTCTGTTTCTTTGTATTAAGATATAGCTCTTTTAAAAGCCTCAGTACTTTTTGTTTATTTTCTTTATTATACATAAACTCCTCATCAATTTTTATTAATAGGATCTTATACAAATTTTAAGTAATACACTCTTAATATTTTAGAATTCGGAAGTTTTACAAAAAAGATAACTCTCCCCTTGAATACCTTCCAGGCGTTACGATAGTAAAACCTCTAACTGGAGTGGATCCCCTGTTAGAAGGAAACATAATTAGTCACATGGAACTTCGGTATCCTAATGTTAGCTCTTTTACACCCTTTCTGCCTTAATGAATTTCTACAAAAGTAATTTCTATTGCTTGTTGCCTTTTCATACAGCTTGAAATTATCTTTTGTGTGGAAGATCCAAATGATCCAGCTATTGAGTTAGTCGAATCTCTCTTTCGTAAATATCCCAAAGTCGACGCGCGTCTTATTATAGGTAAGTGAACGCCTTTCCTCCAATTTTCTTGTTTGGATTTCATGAAACTTGCATTATTGTTATTTAGGGGGAAATGGAAATGTGATAAATCCCATGGTGAATAACTTTCTTCCTGGTTACGAATCAGCCAAATATGATCTCGTTTGGATTAGCACAAGCCGTATCAAAGGTACTTTATTTAGTCACTGTGATACTTCATACGGTTTTTTATTAAGTCACTCTGTGGGTGTGTTCATTTAGTTACCTATACTTAAGTTAATGAAAATGAATTTTCTTTTTTCATATCTCATTTGTATTCTCGAAATGTATTTTCTTGATTTCTGATTTTTAGCGAATACAGATATCATTGTGGATCTTGTTAGAAAATTGGAAGATCCGCGCGTCGCCCTTGTTCATCAAGTCCCCTACGTTACTGATCAAAGAGGCTTCATGAATGCCATCGAAAAAGTGAGTTAGTATCTCCATTTAACGGAGCACGCAAGCCTAGCTTTAAAACTAGCATCTAAGGGGGGCACTATCGTCTAAAATATTTTGTGGTCCGCTATCTATTATTCTGATTATTTTCGTGAATCCCTACTGAAGTCAACTTTTTTAGCCAAAAATCTTCTAATTTGTCAGGATATGTGAGAGGACTTCAGAAGGGTGTTAACTACTACCTCCTCTGAGACTGCAATGAGTCAAAGGAATCAAATCCCTGTTTTTTTTTCTCTTCGAAGAGATGTCAGTGCTACTTCTTACCTCTGATTACCTTTGCTTTTTAATCATATGGTAAATAGTTAATTCATTTCACGTGGCTGGGTACTGATGTATGTGCCAATTTTTTTTGCAAATTTATTGTTGTGGATTTCATTTGACAAAGCAACAGTTGTTTTTTTTCGCCTAAATACTCGAGTAATCACAAAACCAATACTTTTGTGTGTTTCCGAATTGTTACCTACTCCCCACAAACACTGAAATAGGTTGATTAATTTATTCAGTCTAGGTTGTTGTGACGCTGTGTTAATTCGAATACATCAATCCAAATATATCTCCTGATTATAAGGATAGAAGTGAGTAGTGATCTTTTACGCGATGCACAGCTTTTAGTAGAATTAGTATGTAATAAGTTTCCTTTTGCATAAGCACACTCTCTGTATAACCGAGCCTTAAACTCTGCTGAGGGGGGGGGTTATAGATTGTTAATTAAGGACCCTACCTGCTTGCCAAAGGTCTGGGGAATTGCACTACAACAGCAGTACAGCTCTGCTATCTCCAATTGTGAAGAATATGGGCAATTGGGGCCTTATTAGCAGATAGTTTTAGGCCACACTTACGAGCATTTTAATATGAACTTTCAAATGTCCCATTCTTGTACTTCGGAAATTTGTTGAGATTAGTTCGAATGGCTATTAAACCCTCTTCTAAGGGTATTGTAAGCACCTAGAAATGGGGGGGGGGCTATCTTTTTTCTCCCTGGTCACATGCAATGAATTAAACCCTCTTCTGTGAAATCAGAGGTCTCGTAGTCCTGATACCTGTCGATATGCTACTAATGGGTGAGTTTTTTAACCAGATAAACTCCAGTTGCTACACCTCTCCCCAAAATGAGCGTTGGGAAAAACCTTTCGGAATTATGTTCATTTGGTTGTCTAGGTCTCATCTCAGTTGGAGATGGTTGAAAAAGTGGACTTTCAATGTTTTTTACATTTTAATTTTTAATCTGTGGTGGTGATTGGCATCATTGACTTCTCCTTATAATATATATATATATATATATATATATATATACTCAATATTTGAAAGGGATATTCTGGAAAGTATGTTAGGATGAATTTCCTTAAAATAAAAAGGGCCGGAAATTGATTAAATCATTGCAGTGAAAATGGCAGAGTTACATTTTGTTGTTTTCTTCAAATTTGCAGTTAGTTAAAAAAATCCAAATCACGTTTTTATCAAACTGTTGTTGTTGTTGTTGTACATTGAGTTTGTGCACAGTTCTGACTGACCCGATTTTTTCTGTTTTTTTTTTGTTTTTTTTGCTCTATGTAGGTATGTTTTGGCTGTGCTTTGGGTCGCAGTGCAATTGCTCTCAATCATATGGGCATGCTCTGTTTCACTGGAATGTCGTACATGCTCCGCAAATCTCTCCTCGACAAATTCGGTGGTTTCGCTAGATTTGGAAAATTTCTCGCAGAGGACTACTTTTTCTCCAAGGAGCTCTTTGAGAAGTAAATCGCATTTCCTCTAACACCACTTTCTCACTTCTTCTCAATTGTGTGTTCATTTTGTTGTATAAGGTCATTATTTGTGAATAATCGAAAGGCTCTACCTTCATTAAGCTCACTGTCTCCCTAGGATACATATATATATATATATATGAGTTGCCTGTCGTTGCCTTTTTAAACTATGGGTGTTTGTGAGTACGCTCACATTAAAATAAAAACACCGCCCTTAGTAACGCTCGCGAAACTACCTATTTCGTGCTTTCTGTTTCGTTGCAGTGGCTATAAGGTTGTCCTCTCTTCTTACCCGGCTCAACAGAATGTGGCTAATGTGACGCTGGATGTCTATACCACGCGGATGGTTCGGTGGTTACGTCTTCGACTCAATATGCTCACAATTGTGGCAGTGCTTTTCGAACCCATGATTGAATGCCTCAATTTGGGTGTGTTAATGATCTTTTCACTCGGCTACCTCTTTGGAATCAGTGGTCTTACTACTATGACCGTGCATATCGCCTTTTGGATGACTTTAGATTACTTCCTTCTTCGATTTGTTCAGGTGAGTACCCTCCTTCGAAATTTAATTTTTTCCGGGGAACAGGTCGATTTGTCTGTGGAGCTATGCTTCCCGCTTTTTTTAACGAAAGTATCAGGTATCGGTTTGGTCTCTTTGAAGATGGAATGCTTAAGATTTGTGGTCTTCAGTTGTGTTTCCAGGTGCCGCGGCTAGGAATCTTTACTAATTTTAATTAATTGTTGTTGGACTCAATAATGAGCCAATCAGGGGCTAATGATAAGTATCATAAAGCCTGGCATTTGAAATAATAACAATAATAATCAGCCAATCAAATCCCACGAACCACCAAATCGGGTACATTTAAATTGTATTGAGGGACAAGTGCTTTTTAATTTCACCTATTGTGCAATATAGAGCCGGTCTGTGAAGTCCATGGTCACGGGCTCTATGATCAGTAATTGTGACGTACTAGTTACGTCAGTTTAATGAAGACGTTGGTAGAGATCTAGTTGGTCGTGAGGGTTGGTCGTGTAAAGCACTTCTAAAAATATTTTCGCGGTTATTTTGTTATTAACCAGTCTTTTTCACAAACGCAACTTCTTGAATAGCTTGCTTTAAATTGATTGGATATCTGTGCCTATTCGAGCTTTTTTACACGATTTTACATGACTTGACCTTGTGTAATTCTAACCATGTCATATTCTAATGTGTGACGCAATAATTGCGTGAAATAATATACAGCTTTGCATCAGGTGTGCTTGGACCCTATTCAACAGTGTAAGATAGTTGCTTTAGAGGGATGATTGCGAGTGTACTTGAAACTTGATTCACTTTTCTTTCTCTTATTTAGTTCCTAAGATGCCGAACGGGCATATTGCTAACCAATTCTCATTTTTAAGAACACGGGGTTATCTTAAATTAATTGGGGGGGAGGGGGGGGGGTGGGTAAGCATGCCAGTAAACCCACTCTCTTATCCAACAGGAGTGCAAAGAAGAAGAATTTGGCTATGCGACTGCCCTTGTTAAGAGCACTTTCGAGAGCATAACAACTTGGGCACTCGGTTTAGTCAAAAGGTGAATCGTCTCTTTCTTAGTTGTAATTTGATGCTGAAATGTGAGTGGGACACAGCTGTGCTTTTCATTTTCATTATAAGTTAGTTGCCTTTCAAATAAAATGCCCACATTATTAAGGAGCATAAAGGTGATTGTCTCACGTAACTCTATCTCATGTAGAATTCCAGAACCAAGGAGGGATAATTGCGTTCTCTTAAAACTGAAGCGTTACGCTGCAAATTTCACCCAGTTTAAAAATGTTGCGCCTGCGCCTCTTATAACGGCACATACACACACACACACATCAGCGGTATTGCTTATTAAAATAGCCGACTTTGTGGTCTTCGTTCCACTCTGAGCGTTTAAAGGCCCTTCATTAACAAAAAACCAGTTTTAATTTCATCTTTGCTATTCATTTCTGTGTGGCCTGATTTCACCTCAAATTGACGCCTGTATGTATCCTCGACTGTCAACTATAAATCCAAATTGTGTTTCCTCCGTTCTTTGAATATTCTCTTTTCCATTTCCCTACATTTAATGTCTTGTGATAGAGGTTATTTGAAGTCGATAGGCTAAGGATGCAAATTCCACTCACCTACCTGTTGTTACTTTACCTTAGAACGCCTCATCTTTACCTTCTCCGTGAAAAAAGTAGACATTAATCATATTGGTTAGAGAGCCCATGAACTAGTTATTAAATTCTTACTCTACCAGCCCTCCTTTACCCTGGAAAAGCAAACTCGCCACCACAAAATTAGGGAGGGAGGGGGTGATTCAATTAGCTGTGCTACACAGCTCTTGTCGTCTAATGCCAGAATCTATCGCATAGCAGAGCGAGAGAGCGAGAGAGAGAGAGAGGGGTGCTTGAGATTTGCACATGAATTCGTGACAGTGAGCTGTGCTTTGCTTACTTATCCAAATAGGTGTATGCGATAGATTGGTAAGAAACATGAGTTTTTGTTGCAGCTTTCAGAAAATCTTGCCCTCGTCTAACTGAATGTATACCACTACCACACCATCCTCTTAAGTACTTATAATGACAGGAACACTCACAATCGTAGTTTTATGTTTAATAAAGCCGATTTCCTTTCCAAATATATTACAAAATTGATTACCTCTAGCAATCGAGAGTGGAGTGTGCGTTATTTGGCATTCAAAAACGCGCAAGGAGAGGCCTGTGATTGGTGGGCATTAATTACCTTTTCCACACCCAACACTTATGATTGTGTCAGGCCAAGAAGAATATCCTATCTGTGAGTATTCATTTTTTTTCTTCTTTGAAATACAGGCGGTACTACTAGTATTAATACAGCTGTAAGTGTAATTTCCTATTGGCAGTCATTAGATTTAATTATCACCTGCATAAATGAGCTAAAACTGTAGCTATATGGTTGCCAAATGATCACTGTTTGGCAAGAAAGCATACATAACCGCAAATAACATGATAAACGTTTCTCGAGTATGGATTCTCTTGTGACTCTCTCAAGGTACTGATACCTAGCCGTCTTTTCGACTGTGATTTAGGTGGTATTTATGAGAAAATTTTCCTAATCGTCTTGTGTATGCTAGATTTTTTTCGACTGTTTTAAAACATGCAGCACAATGTGGAGATGGTCTCATAAAACTTGATCGTGCGATCTTTTTTTACATGATATACAGTCTTTTTTTCTTTTTTCTATCCAAAAGTTAAAGCTTTGCCGGTTTGTCATGTGTTTTTGTTGCTTGTCATCTGACTATTGACTAGGTAACGTGCGGCTTTCAAATTCGTTGGGTCTTGAGTTACCGATATTTGTGATATCTGTTTTTTTCTTTCACATGAGTGTCTTTTTCTTCTTCTTTCCAGAATAATGACTTAAGGTTCAACTCTTCGTTAGAGTAATCATTGCTATCGTTTAAGTTGTTCCAAGTCCCGTGTTGAGGTGCCTTAGTGTCTTTCTAAGCATTGGGGCCATTTCGTTCAATCCATTCGATTGACTGAAAATGTTGTATGAGAGTTGTATGTGAGTTTCACTTGTGGAATGTGAACTTGTCCGCTCCGGCTTTCCTTCTCTTTTCCGCCTTTGTGAATTCTCCTTTTCACAAATATTTGTCCATAACGAATGGCAGGCGTCTTGATGGTTATCATTAGCCCTTTAGTTGACTTCGGGCTTCACAGAGGGGGGAGGGGGGGGGGCGGAGGAACATCAAAATGAGAAAAATTCGGGAGGGAGAACAGAAGAGCGATTCACAGATGTAAAAGAAACAGACAGACACAAAGTCTCTGAAAGGGTAAGATGAGTACTGTGGCAGGGGTCGAATATGACATACAATGGTGGTGATGGGTGTTTGAAGTGAGAAGTCAACTGCCAGTTAATAGACTTCTTTGCCATATGATTACACGTTGCCCAGGGTGCACCACGAGGAGGTAAGTCTATCCCACACCCCTTTTCATAAATATTATGTCTCAGCTGAGAGTAAAACANAATGGAGAAGAATTCAGGGGGGGGGAATAGAAGGNTTCAACTCTTCGTTAGAGTAATCATTGCTATCGTTTAAGTTGTTCCAAGTCCCGTGTTGAGGTGCCTTAGTGTCTTTCTAAGCATTGGGGCCATTTCGTTCAATCCATTCGATTGACTGAAAATGTTGTATGAGAGTTGTATGTGAGTTTCACTTGTGGAATGTGAACTTGTCCGCTCCGGCTTTCCTTCTCTTTTCCGCCTTTGTGAATTCTCCTTTTCACAAATATTTGTCCATAACGAATGGCAGGCGTCTTGATGGTTATCATTAGCCCTTTAGTTGACTTCGGGCTTCACAGAGGGGGGAGGGGGGGGGGCGGAGGAACATCAAAATGAGAAAAATTCGGGAGGGAGAACAGAAGAGCGATTCACAGATGTAAAAGAAACAGACAGACACAAAGTCTCTGAAAGGGTAAGATGAGTACTGTGGCAGGGGTCGAATATGACATACAATGGTGGTGATGGGTGTTTGAAGTGAGAAGTCAACTGCCAGTTAATAGACTTCTTTGCCATATGATTACACGTTGCCCAGGGTGCACCACGAGGAGGTAAGTCTATCCCACACCCCTTTTCATAAATATTATGTCTCAGCTGAGAGTAAAACAGGGAGGACAAGTCTATTGATTGTATGCCGCACATTCCGAAAACTACTTATAATAGAGGGAATGCATCTTGATGTTTGTCATTTTAGATGGGTAATTGGTAGCATATATCATCACAAATTTGTAAGTCTGGAAGGCGTTTAAGAGGAGTGAAGAGAAAAAATTGAAAATTAGAATCATATGGCGGTAGGGAATGGGCATTGTATTCTTAATTCATATCTGTGCCCTTTGAGTCTGTGCCTTTAATAATGTGGACTTATTCTGTGCCTGCGTAGATGGTCACAAACACACAATTTGAGTTCGTGTGTGCTCATTATCACACGTCCATTCTTTTCCTATCATTGTGTCTGTTTTTTTCTCTTGTCTGTGCGCAGGGTGGATCACTGCCTTTTGGTATAGTGACCTTCTTTTTTGCCTGGTGGGCACGCGAGATCCTGACCTATCTCGTCTACTTCAAGGCTATCCTACATCCCCGTACTGTCAAGTGGGGCAAGAATACCTATCACCTTTCCCTAGGAGGTCACACAGAGCTCCTTAATGGTCCTAATAGTGGATACAGTAGTAAGAATGCTAACAGTATCTCCATTCACAATAGCATCGGATCCGTACCAAAACGCAGTAGATCAATTGATCAATTACCCCTTCCTGTCAATGAGATGATTCCAGTTGCTTCCCAAGCAAAGATGTCTACTGCTGCTGGTTCTCTACCCAAAACTTTCGCAGGAATCGCTACGGCAATGAATGGCGAACACACGTGGAGGCATTTCACACAGAATGGCTACATTCGGGGCTCCCTAGATCACCAACATATCACCCTCATATCAGATGCCTAATACGTCAAAACCCTGCCAACTGGCACATTCAGCACTATTTTACCTGTTTTTCTATTCCCCAATTATCTCTCCCCCCCCCCCCCCCCCTATTTTCGCTTTCCTATCCTGTGTACAGATCCTCCCCTGTTCTCCAATGACTGTACCAAAAGATTTCTCAATGGTCTGCCTCCTCAAATTTAGTTTGTATTCACATATCTGCAACGATCTCTCCTCCCTATCTTTGTACGTGAGTACTTTTTGACGCTGAGTGAAATTGTGTTTGTACTTTCTAATAGGTGATGCTGCTGATTCATTTAGGCTTTGGTATATTGTTCCTTTCTTTAATACTGTGAATACTGTCTTCCTTTTCTCTCTCTCCTAATGTATATGCCTTTATTGATTTGTGTTTTAAGGGTC